TTAAAAATATCTGTATTCTATTTAGATTCTACATTTACACACACACATACATATATATATATATATATATATATATATATATATATATATATATATATATATATATATACACATATATAATAAAACATTTATGCTTCCTAAACTGAACAAATTTAATTATATAATTATAGCATATTCGCGAGCGATAAATCGACACTCGAGGGCGCAATGGTATACTCTTACGTTTTCGCGAAATATATTTATCTTCACAGGATTGCCAACACTGCTTATGCTTAGGTAAAGGGCTGTTGTACCGCTTGCATCGTTTACATTTACACCGCCTATTGCAAGTGGGCGGCAATGGCCACGTCAGCGGCGGCGAGCACATTCGGCCCACGGAAAACTCTGCTATCTTCATGATGATGCACAACAACAGCACTAACATTATTCGTTGACAAGATATGTCAGAGTTCGCACAGCCGATGGCCGTTATATTATAATAGCATTTCCGTCCGTGTGTATTGTGTATAACGAACCGCCAATTGTCCGAATGTAGTTATATATACAATATATCACGATAGAGTCTGTGACGTAACATCGATAACGATGCGATATGATTCGTTATCGCAATTTTTGAACACGATGATGCATCATATGTATATTAACCTGTACACTTTTTTAGCATGCTGCGACGTGCTATGACGCAAAGTACGCCTTTTTCTTATTTATATAATTCTAGATTTTATTATTTTTTTATTGCTTATACTCCTTTCGCGACATATCTTAGAAGAGCTTTAAATATTTTTTAAACATTTTATATTTTATTCGAGAAACAAAGGCTTTTCTTCAGCTTAAGATCAAATAGTAGTCATACTAATCGAAAGACAAGATTATCGTGTAAAACCGCACGATATAAAAACACACACCCGTACCAATCGTCGTAAAACGTTACTCACACATACGCGCGCGCACATTCAGAGTTGCACAATTATCTATAAAACAATCTAGTTTTCAGAATTATTTATCCGATCGATCAAACACTAGCACGAAAAATTTGGATCATTAGATACTCCTCGCGACAATATAAAACGACACAGAGATCGAGAGCAATCGGTAATTTTTCACCGATTATATCGACGCAATCCAATAGCCGCCGATTTTTCATCGAACACGATCGAGAGTCATTTCTTTTAATAAGAATCCCATACAATCGGGCAGAATTATTTTTCCGCGACGAGGATTCTGAGTCAAACTGCTTTCTTACACGATCCGCATCTCGCTGGAGGATGTTTGCACACGGCACCACACGACGCGAAGTCTGATCTCTATTAATAAATGTTCGTACCGTCTCGTACAGAGCAAAGAAACGAGAGAGAAAGAGGTAGAAAGAGAATGCCGAAGAGAACGTCATAATACAGAAGAGGAGAGAACAGTCCTGCTCGAAGGCGTGGGCGAGGGCGAGGACGAGAGGGATCGGCTTCATGCACGCGTAATGTCGCGTGAATCAAGTTCGCAATAACCCGCGTCTCGTAGCGGATTACGACGCTTTGATGATGCTATCATCTGCTCTGTGTCAAAAAATGCAGGTCAATACATCAATCTATTCACTAAGAGTGCACATAAAATCGAGAACTTAGAACACGGATTTTAAAACCTTTTATTTTGGTGGAGTAAGATCAACGTAACATTCTCTGGTGAGGTCATTTTTTGTACAAAAGGCACACGGGAAAGAATCTTACATCGTACAATTATAATATCTTTATCAAATTTATAGCGAGCATTTATTCGACAGCTTGTATTATATTATTGCACATTAATGAGTACGAACTTTTTCGATGTCATGCCATACAATGGGGTGATCGAAACCATAGACAAGGAAATATAGAGTGCGCGTATCAAACAAATGTTGCGCAAAAATTAGAAAAAAAAAACGCAATGTCTCAAAAGTCTGGTTTTTCTCTCTCAAACATAAAACTACGCCGTTACCATTGGTATCGCAATTATGGTTACCAATTTGGAACAATTTCTCTCTAGTTGAAATGATGAAATAAACATACATATACTGGTATATATATACTTTCAAGACGTTCTTTTTCTAATTTTGGCGTACGAATTGTTAATAGATAACAAGATATATGCGCATTCTATACTTTCTATACGTTTATGGTCGAAATGCCCTACACATACACATACACATATGACATACATGTTTTTTTCCAGTTGTGCAAGAATATTATTGTCTATTGCCAATAAATAAAATTTTTCACTTACCGATTTTATTTCCGTTACCACAAACGCGATATCCGTGGCAATATCTAAAACACCTAAAAATATAATATCATATCATATATATATATTATTTTAGTCACGAGCGAACGCAAATTGTGAAATCGAGTAATTTATCATGTAATTGAATTGCTACATTTATTTCCATATACTTGTACATAATATATCACGAAATATTTCATTGCATTTCTTTACTGCAGTAAGTCGCAGTTTCTCAGAAGTACAACGAACTATTGGAACGAACGACTCGTCTAGAGTATTTTTTCATCGATTTTATGGGACTTTCGAGGTCAATGATATATCACTTGTACATCTTATTGTTAATGATCTCGATGACAAAGAGAGGATGATATTATTTTTCATGCGAAAATACATATCTAGCGAAAATCGCAATCTCGCACACAAGAGACGAGAAAGAACACAAAACAGCCAGATAGCTTGCGTCGCATTGTGACCAGTCAATATTAGAAGCCACTAACATACTCACGTTCATGACGAAGGGCCAGCTGATAGGCATACTGACACTCGTACGCCCGCGTAAAAAATAGTAGACTTAGGACATTGCGATCTGTTTTTAACGGCGCGATTCAATGAATAACAACGTATTCCCGCGTTATTGGCCGATCGCGATTATGGAATATTATGCGACGAAACACTTTTGGAAATGTATATTCTGAATCACTGGAATCGAGCAAAACCCCTCCCTAATCGCAACAGCCCTCGTGCAACTGCGAGCGCGCATGTCCTTCGAGAACAGACCGCACCACGAGTTGTTAACGAGAAAAGGGGATGTTCTCTCTTTTCACCCAAAGTTCCTTCTAAGAACGCGAAAACGATTGTCGATCGAGAATTAAAAAATTGGATTTACTTCCGACATTTAATGCTTTCTTATGTCCGATAATACTGATGTAACGAGAATGTTGAATTATTTTTTTCGGATGTTACACTACGATCAAAGAAAAGTATCAAGTATCAAATATTTCATGAAACATTGTGTGGAAGTATAATATCTACCACAAAACGACTCTGTACGACTATATATAACACTTTATCGAGATCTTTCATTCCGACATTGTTATCAAAAAATACGCTAATAATTTATTATCGGTCTATTAAATTATATTGGATGGATAAAAAAAAGTATACTTCAAAAAAATTGTATTTAAACGAAAAATATTTTATTAATAAAAGCTCTCTCACATAAATTGAAATATTCAATTTCGTAATAATAGTAGATGATATTGATGGCTTAGTTTGACCAAATAACACTCGTTTGCTATTTTCCAAAATTAGAACAATATTGGAGTTACTTAGAATTGTCATTTGCTCTACTTATAAAAATATTTATAAAAATTATATTTTAAACATTGAATGATTGAAAACATGATATGATTTATTTAATACAACTATAAATAGATAAAATTTTATTTTATTTTGCAAAATGTTTATTTAATTAATAAATACAGCACGATTCACACGCTTTTGCGACTGGTTTATAACTTTAATTCTGTATTCGATATAAGATGTGTGTGCGTGTGTTTTCAAAAATATTATAAGTTAAACTGCATGATTTCTTTGGCACAATCGCATTGATTATTGTATCATTTTTTATTTATAGAACATCTTATCGTTCTGTGCTTGAAAAGGTATATGTCTTTAAGAAAAATATAAATTTCTCACAATGATACATAAACAATGCACAAGCGCAACATTCAGAGATAATACTAAATATTTGTAGAAAAATAGTCTACTTATACTAAGTACTTATGTTGAACTATACTTAACGTTATATATAATAATTCTCTTATTATTATATATAATTTTTATTTTTCTTAAACTACTTTTCTTTTTTAAACATCTCTTTTCATTTATCAATTATGCACAATACTTATACACAACTTTATTAATTATTCTATAAACATAATATAATATGGGAACATGATAAACCAATTAATAAGGTACAAATTTATCATTATGAATATTACAATAATCATTTAAAATTATTATATGTAGAAAAAAAATATAATTAATTAGTTTCTAGTTGAATGATGTGCAATTTTTACCAATTGTAATTACATAGAGTTTTGGAATACATGATAAATTAATAGCAATGTACCTAAAAGTACGACTTATGTAACATCAAACATATAATGGAAGTAGCTGAAAGTTCAGCTTGGATAAGACTTGAGGATACAGATAAAAATGTAATCAAAAACACGGTAATTATTAATGATGTTCGAAAAACAAAATATATGTAGCATATAAGGAATGCATGATATCTAATGTCCCAATATTAATTACAGAATAGCTCCCTGAATAAGAGATGCTGTTTGTGATAATAAATTACATGATCAAATTTTCTTAACGACTAAATGCGAGAAATAAATATATTTAATAACAAAAATGTATAATGCTAAACGTACCGTCTATTTTTTGGCGTTTTACGACATCTTCGTCTTCCGAAAATTGCAATAATACAAATGATTACTAACGCTACAAGAACTACGCTTACAGCCCATACTGCTTTGCTAGTGTTAATTGTATGTGTGCTATATTGTGTATCGTTGAAAGTATCAAGCGTTAATGATGATTTATTTAAAGGAGTTCTGTTTGGTAAGTTCGAGCCAGAATTTTTTAGTTTATCTTCTTGAGTATACACAGAAGATTTAGACTCTAAAGATTTTTCTACTTTCGTTTGCATGTTTTTCGCATTACTTGGTATCTTATGCGGTGATGACATATCTTTTGTTGTTATACTGCTTATAGTAGTGGTTAGTTGTGATGTCACAGTAGGAGTATTGATCTCTTGCAAAATATGTTTTTCCAATTCTTCAAGTTCTTTATCTGCTGTTGCTCCAGATTTGTACTTGAATTTTTTTTCGTTTTCTTCTATAAATTCTTCCAGCGGTGTAAAGTAAGAAATGAGAGCATCTGCGGACACATCATCTATATCTACGAATTTGTCCAGAATATCTTGCCAATGAAAGGCTCCACTCTGTTGAATCATTTTTCTACACACAGACATAAAAATATCAATTAAAATTTTCTCATGTATTAAACATAGCTATTGAAAATGTATTCAATATCTGTATATCGCGTCGTTCTCATATTGTATTAACTTACATTATATTGCCATTCATCAATTTTCCATCAATGCCATTGTATCTGACTTCAGTCGAGTCTAGAGTATATTCATATAACAGGAAAGATATCATTATGCCAAGAATCTTGCTGTAATACATTTTTAGTATAAGTATAAAGTTATATTTCTCTGCATTACACACATGCACACACACAAAACAAACAAAAACATGCACACTCACAATACGCATATGATATACTTACGGAAGGTACGGTTTATTCATAATAATATGACTGTCATCTAAGAAAGTAGGATTATCTGTATTCATAGAAGAGACACCTTCATATTCTTGCCTAGTACACACAATTATATTCATATATTATAGTTATAAAAGTAAACTCTACAGAAGATTCTGTATTGTATTAAATATTATACCTATGTTTCCACCAGGATGATACCAAGTCCGTAGGATCAGTAATTTTCTCTTGAATCGCATTTAATCTCCATAGATCAGCAGAGTAATAATATGCTAATCGTGGAAGTACATTAAGAGCAGTTATTATTAAAGATACAATCATCTGTTGCTCGTTATCATTAGTACTGTTCATCAAATGAGTATGATTCAACCATGCAGGACTCAATGATAATATTCCAAATAATGTTGATATGCCCTCTTCTAATCCTGTAAGACCAAGTATTCTTAATATTTACTATTTTAACATTCTCCAAACAATTTTATATTGACATGTATATGTGTTTAAGCCCAAATATTTCCTTACCCGAATATCTGTTAATTGTATTGAGAATAGGAGTGCTTTCTACAGTCATTTGATTAAATAGAATTTTTCCCATGTCTTCGTGAGCTCTCAAGAAATTGCTCATGGTGGCTTTAGAACAAGTGGACACTCTAAAATAATATTTGAATTTGGTATTGTTAAACTACACAGAAAGTAATAATACTTGTATCTAAGTTTTTGCTACAAACGTACATGGAGCCTACAAAAAAAAGTAGTTATTATAACATAAGATTCAAAATATATCTTTTTCTTATCAATAAATTTTCTTAATTTTTTTTTATTAATATAAGATTTATAAATATGAATAAAACCGCTTTTTTTTTGCTTCTTTAACTTTATGCAATTTCAAAATCCTGACATAATATGCTAATTTACAAGTCAAATTTATTTTTATTATGTAAAAGAATTATATAATCTGATTTAAAATAAGTCGTTAAATTTGATCGAGATTATTAATTTTTTAAATAATTGGATGCTTTTGATGTGCTTTCTTTTTGGGTGGAAATCATATTGCACAAACCCGAAATAGAACGATAAAAATAACTCTTGAATACATTACCGAAAAAATGTATCAAAATTACGTTTTTCGTTACAAACAAAATCTATAATGCTGTAAGCGTATGTGTTAGTATAACAGTTATCAATAAAAATAACTGTAACAGCGTTACAAGTAGCGCGTTATTTCTTTGTGTGTGTGTGTGTATATATATATGTACATGTATATACCTCATTGTACCATCTTGACAAAAATTTAATAATCTGGAAGGACAACTTTGGTTAAATTCGCTCTTATCCCAAAATTCTGCTTGTGGAACTTGTTTCAATAGTATGGAACCCAATTTAGATGCAGTCTTATACAGAGATTTTCCAAGATATTTCTATAATTTCAATTTAACAAAAAGCTTTATATATTGCAATAAAATAATTATAATTTGTAAGTTTAATATTGTACGAAACAATAATATCTCTACCTTTTTCCAAAGATTTTTTTTAATACCATAGATTAACTCTGAATAGGGTAACACATCTGATGATATATCTGTCCAGTCACATCTTTGTAAACCACCTTTCAGGTAAAAACACACAAATTTAAGATTCAAAATTCCAAAATTTATCAATAATTGTTTGTTCATCACATTTTTATCAAATATTTTTAACATTTTGCATCTGCACAGTCTTTTTTTTATAAAATATTTTATATTATAAAATAAAAAAAATTTAGCAAGAATATACGAGCTTCAAAAATTGATGGTAGATTGGATATTAATTTATTCTTTGATGAATCTTCCAATGTTATATACACACAACTTTTTTCTTTCAAAAATCCAAACTACAAGTTACTTGCAATAATGTTACATGTAAACACAAATGGCAAATCCAATTCATTATCATAAATAATTATTATCTTACCAAGTAAATAAGCAGGAAGTGTATCATTTACAACAAACTCATGCTTTTGAGCTAAGTTTGTACTGATAAATTTTAGAATCTTCTTATAAAGATTATTAATCCGACTCCATTCATTATTTACTTTATCATACCCATCAGAGTATCCTGACAACATCTCCCAGTATTCTTTAACATTTTTGGCATCTATAATCAAACATTTAAATGCTATGTATATTCAAAATTTAATATGTATTATAGTTTGCATTTTACATATAATTTATTCATGCAATATATTCTAATTAATGCTAACCGTTTTCTTTCGCAGCTTTAGAAACCAGTATTAAATTGTTTGAATAATTTGTAACCAATGGTATCAATTGGTGATACCAATTATTCCAGGCAGTTTGTTTATCTTTGAGCCTTCCGCTATGAGAGAGAAAATATTCCACATCTAAATTCACACACAGTTATAAATATTATATTAATAATAGTATTGTACAGTTTGCAAACTAAAATAGAATCTTTATTATGCGATATATATAACAGCAATTATTAATAAAATTATTCTTACATTTTATATATAAGTGGTTAATAAAATTATACTATAATATATACCTTCTCGTGAATAATTGTGCGATTTATTCGTATAACCGATGATTGATTGTTGCAGCTCCGTAGTGCCAGCAAAATGTATAAGCTGTAAGATAGTTTAATATATTTTAAGGTTTCTACTATATATACTAAAATTAAAAGCTATAAAAGCTAAAAGTCTCTTACTTTCTCCCAATCTTTGCCTTTTAGCAGTGCATCACCTGGTTTTTTAATTACGTCATATTTGTATCGAAGGGATGGATTGAGCTCTTCTTTCGTGTTCTCTGTTTTATTAATTACCTCATTTTTCCACGTTTTGATAGATTCTGCATAACTGTATTGTTGTACTTCCTAAAAAATAGCACAACAAATCTAATCTATAAAAAAGTAAGAGTCCTATGTACAACACACATAATTAAACAAGTGCAAATTTGATAATATATTTACCCATATTGATAATGTTTTATTGGAAGGTGAGATAATAAATGACCACTGAACATTGGCAGTATTATAACACGCATCTTCGTAATCCAATTCAATCAATTGTAAAAAAGCTTTGATTTCATCTTCCGAGAGACTGCCATTCAGCGGAACAGTGGTTACACAGACAATAAGATTAAAAATGATCCAGTTCCATTTTGATAGCATCCCTTTAATCTGCGAATTAAATGCTTGCGTTTTTAATACTCAAACCTTTGAATAATCACGAAGAAAGAGCAAGAATATTTTATCAAGAGCAAGAGTATCTTAACTCATTACTTTATAAAATTAACGATATTCGATGTAATAAATTTTATATTTATTAATATAATTTTATATATACCCAGATAGAGACTCTTCCAAGCTGAGAGCAAATCTTGTCAAGTGCCTGCTACAAATTGTTGTCAGCAAAAAGATTATAAATTTGATAGAGGAATTATTACCGTTGTTTGTTGGCAGAAACACCGAGCAAGATTTGCGTGCGCGCAATCTGATAGAAGATAACCGGCAGTAAAAACAGCGCAGAATTTGCAATTTCTGATCACATTTAAATATAATAGTAACATACGCGACATCAGGTTATGTTAGGTTACGTTTCTGCCAATTTGCTATCAGATTCCGCAAGGACGTAGGACAGATCGTTCTTTGCATTACCACCGACCACCGATATGTCAGGTAAATTTTTGTGATCAAGGTATGTTTTCCAGCAAGGACACATACAGAGGGCGCGTTCCATTTAAATGGCCTGTCCTTTTCTACGTGGGCATCGGCCCCCACTCCTCAACACTCGGTCTAGATATACTATGTCTATGCCCGCAACGATCACGGTATCATTTCATCTTTGTTATTCACAGAAAGTTAAACAAAGAGCTTTGTTACACGGCACCCCTAATCGGGTTTAATAACGTCCGTAGTTGTAAAACTGGCCAATCACAGCTATTCCTCTGAAGAATGGAATGAGCGTACAGTGGAACGCGCCCAGAGAAACACAATATCATGCAATTGTCTATCGAATAAAAAATTTTTAAAGTCCCGAAAATTTTTCTATTCGATAGCCAATAGCATGATTTGTGTCTCTCTGTGTGTCTTGCTGGAAAACACCCAAGGCTGCGTTCGTTTTGGACGCTCATTGGACCCTCAAGAGAAAGTCTGGAAACGTGATGTGTCTGATTGGTGCAACTATCTTGTTGCAAAATAGATGTTTTGGATGAGTTTAAGTCAACTTTGGATATCGAAGTTTTGCGTTTTTTGTACATGTATTTGGACAAAGAATAATTTATACCGTAGAGATGAAATAAAGCGATTTTACACCGATTTTCACGCGCACTTGGAAACTGTTCGTTTTTTATTTTTGTTTGGATCGCGACTTAATGAACGTCTTCCTGTTATGTTGACAAGATAAAAAATTTCCATATATACTTTTTACTCAGTCAATCAAATGCACAAAAATAACGTCTCTGCAATAACTATTATTTGATTACTTTCCGAAATCAATTTCTGTCAAGAATACTTCGATATTTTTTTAAGGATTATGTTTAAAAATAAGTACAAAGAGTGATGTTTGTAAACAAGATGTGAACAATAAGTAAAAGCTGATATCGATTAAACCGATTAAATGATGTAATGATTAACAATATTTATAAGAAACGCGAATACAATTCGCAATTACCGCCAATTATTGTTACCGATTATTGTTATTAACAATTTAATTTTCGAAAAAATAAATATATATATATATATATATATATATTTACTTTTTCTTGCTATATATATATATATATATATATATAGCAAGAAAAAGTAAAAGACAAAAAGTGTAAAAAAAATGCAAGTAAAATATATTGATTGTGTATTTACCTTCAATAAAATCGAGCGTTGTTACGCTCGATTCTCGTTCGCACACTATATGAACGAATGGAAAACAGTGTGTGGCAAAATGTGAATGAGAATAAATTCAATAAGGAAGTATCGACCGTAGATGAGATTGAACTGATTGTCTGACACGTTAGATTATCTCACAAAGACCAAAGTTCATCGAATAATTACAGTTTAAGAAGGGTCCACTGATCGGACTCGCATGCTTAATAGATTGGCAATGTGTAACGTGTTATCAAGATGCCAGGACTCCGGACTTTGATGTCGCGCAGTACACGTATGCTATATGACTGACTAATCATCCCAAGACTTGGCAGTCAAGTTGTAATTGATCGAAATTCCATCGCATCACGCCACTATTTCCAACGTCAGTGCATGACGATGCGTATCTACTATATCTATTACGCCCATTCTGTCGTCACTTGCCATCTGCATCAGAGAGGAAACTGAGAATGGCCATCCACAGAATTCTTGAGAATTCTTGCGTGTCATTTTTAAATAAAAAGATATTTTGATGAAACAACACTATACAGATCGCTTTACTACACTTGTAAAATTGTCCGAAAACTATGCTAAAAGCATATATATATGTTTCGTATCACACTCATTTTACGGCTGTTTATTAACTGTCAAGGAAAAAGCATAGTTTTCGGATAATTTTACAAGTGTGCTAAAGTGATCTGTAGTGTTGTTTCATCAAAATATCTTTTTATTTAAAAATGGCACGCAAGAATTTTCAGCGTGTCATTCTCGCCTTAACGTTACGATTCCAATATGGCCGCGGCGAGTGCCTAGGACCCATCAATGGCCTAGTTTACACCGATATACTTTAATACGTATTAAATACTATACCGACTAATCAAAACCATTTAATTCTTTAGAGGAATGGCTATGACTGGCCAGTGTAGTACTTAATACGTATTAAAGTATTAGCGTTTTCGAATGTAGCAGGTTTAATTGCTCTCAGAGCGATTAATGATGTGATTGCATCGTCTCTGCCGACTTTGTGAAATTGGCCCTAAAAGGCTTGAATTTATAGTAAAATATAGTGATTAATTGAACCGGGTTGGGTTAACCCGTTCATCTGAAAACGCTAAAGGTACATTTTCACGAGCCGCTCAAATCGATCGTTTGAGCGACAAAAAGGATCACGTGATCGAAATGGACGAATCAGCGGCCAGACTGTCGTCACTCATTCGTCCATTTCGATCACGTGATTCTTTTTGTCGCTCAAACAATCGATTTCAGCGGCTCGTGAAAATTTATTTTAAAAGAATAAGGAAGGAGCATATTGCGATTCTGCTGTTAGGGGGAGTTTCCACTGAGCGCGTCACGCGTCGCGACATACGTCGCGTTACGAGGTAACCAATCAGAACGTCTGTTTTATTGTATCATCTCCGACGCGACCTTCTTGCGCGACGCGTTGGTTTGGTTCGTTTGGTTGCTCGACATTTTCGCGTTTGCCATTGCTAGTCATGACCACCATGTCTCGCCAGTGATACAATTAGCAATGTAGAAAAAAGCAACTTTAAAAACTTTGATAATAACATAATTTCATACACACATACTATACTCACTCTGTTTTAATCGTAGGTCTCCGATATTTAATACACTATTTTAATGTCTACAGGTGTCATATACTATTTTACAGAAAACAGGTGTAATCAGAAATAGATTTTATTTGTACTATATTTTAATTTAAATGATGCTTCTGTTAGAGCCCAAGCACAGACTTTTGCATAAGCGCATAACCATAAGAATAAAGAAATTGATTGGTCCATAAGCATATGCATAAGGAAATGGCCCTTAACGTTTATATTGCAACCAATAACCTGGCGAACTAGTACATTCTGCGCATGCGTTGATTTGTCGCGACGCGTTCAATGTGAATAAAGTCACTAGATTGACAAAGTACCGCAAGTTTGATGGTAATCTTAGGGAGAATTCACACCTTGGCAAAAAAGCATAAAGCAGAAAAGCAGAAGCCAATCAGAACTCGTGCTAGAAAAGCAGAAGCCAATCAGAACTCGCGCTGAAAATAAGCAGTACATTCTGCTTTTTTAGCGCGAGTTCTGATTGGCCTCTGCTTTTCTGCTTTCTGCTTTTCTGCCAAGGTGTAAATCCGGGTTTAGATTGGAGCAAAAATGGCGTCAAATAGTGTAGATAGTGCACACTTTGTGTATGCTATCTAGGGCGCGTTTCACTTAACGACCGCAACCTTAGAACCTTAGAACATATATAAATGGAAGGGGAATGCCTTTGTTTCCCGATAGAAAAACATGTCGGAAGGAAGTAAGAAAGAAAATCATAGTTGCCTCTCTCTCTTGTGAGTTACTTTGCTCAAAAGTGCGCATGCGCGGCCATGTGTGTGTACACAAAAGTATGTATACTACAGCCACGATGCTTGTATGTGTAGTTACTCACAAGAGAGAGGCAACTACAATTTCTTTTTCACTTCCTTCGACACTTTTCAGCCTGCTATTCCCCTTTCATTTATATATGTTCTAAGACCGCAACGCTCGCGAGCATCATCTGTCTTTGTTTAATTTTCGGTGAACAACAAAGATGAAATGATATCGTGAGCGTTGCGGTCATTAAGGACCGTGGCACATAAAAAAACTTAAGCAGTAAGACTTAAGACGTATACGAATTGACCAATTACGGTCGAACAGTAAAGCAGCCATATTAAAACATAAGCTACGCTAAAAATTCCGTATGGTTGAAATTCTTAAGGTGCCTTTACATGGCAGCATTAAGCGTCGAGCGTCTGCGCAGAAAAATGCGCAGAATTTAAAAGAGATAGATTCTAGGCTGAAATTAGATTCTGCGCAATTTTCTACGCAGACGCTCGACGCTTGACGCTGCCATGTAAAGGCACCTTTAAGTCTTAAGTTTACTGCTCAAGTTTTTTTTATGTGCCCGGGCCCTAAAGCCCGTATCAGACTACGCATTGAAAATTGAAGATTGAAGTTTAAAGATTGGAATTTAACTAATCAGAACAAAAAGGACTAAAATTTCTTCATTCTGATTTGTCAAATTTCAATCTTGAATCTTGAATCTCAATCTTCAATACGTAGTCTGATACGGGCATAAGTGGAACGGGCCCCTAATGTGCACTATCTACACTATTCGACGCCATTTTTGCTAAAAACTAAGATTACCATCAAAATTGCGGTACTTTGTCAATCTAGTGACTTTAAGTGTGAATAACAAAAAACGCCATCTCTTGAACTGCCGTCGCGTCGCGTCGTGATGCGACGCGTGACGCGCTTAGTGGGAACGAACCCTTATGCCCGGTCTACAATGAGTCGTTAGTCGTTAGCCGCAAGCAAATTGACCAATCACAGTCGATTATTCCTAGAATATTCTTGGAATAATAGACTGTGGTTGGTCAATTTGCTTACGACTAACGACTAACGACTCATTGGTCTAGTTTCCACCAAAGTATTAATTAGCATCTAGTGCGGCGTAGGACTAAATTTAAGTCGATGGAAATACGACTGATTGCGTTCATTTCACTTTTTTACTTTTTGGATAAATTATGGACCACCAAACGTTGTAAATAAAGGATTTGTGACCACCTAACGATTCTGCATCGAATAAGCCCTGATTTAATCGATTAGACTAAAAATTAAAAATGTCCGGCTAACTTTACACCAATATTTTAATTATTTAATTAAAAAAAAACGATAGACCACCAAACGTTTTAACTAGGCTACCAATCATCATCAAACGACCACCAAACGATTAGATAATTTTAATTATTAAAAAGTTAAAGTGGTCCAGCTAACTTTACGGAGCTCGGTGGAAACGCTTGAAAGTACATGGTGCCAACCTTTACTTTTCATTATTTCGTAACCATCAATATATAGTCGATATATAGTCTATATGTTGATGTTCGTAACAGTTACCGTTTGTTCGTATTAATTATCAAAATGGAAAATAAACGAGAAATTTGTCAAGGATTATGTTTATTTACATTCACAAGCAGAAGATAAGTTGGCTCTACTGAAATATCAATCTTCCTCGCTTCTATTCTACTTCCAGTGGAAACAGTACGTTAAATTCGATGCGCACCGAAACAGGATCGGATTGACGACTTCGGTGGAAACTAGATCATTGTAGACCGGGCTTTATCGATAATCAGGATGTAGTTTTATGACGTATAATTACGTCATAATTAATTACGTCATAATTAATTACTAATTAATAATTTCTTACCGGAAACAAAGAAATAGGTTTGTTCGCGTTGCTTGAAATTCCCAAAAATTTTTGCACTGAAAACGAGATAAATATATATTTGGATGTTGAAGAGAGTGAAAGCGAAGATGCTGAATGCAAAAAGTTCAAGCAACGCAAACAAACCTAATGGCGGTATACCTTGAATGCTTGGAAGTGTATATGTATATACATATGTAAGAAACCCTAAAGACATTTTTGAAATATGCGTATTGTGCGGTTATGAATTTTGTTATCAAATTTATAATGGTACATAAATTTAATGTATAATAATCAGGGTTGGGAAAATTACTTTATAAAAGTAACTCGTTACCGTTACCGTTCTTTTTTCTAAAAAGTAACTCGTTATCGTTACTTGTTACCAATTTTAAAAAGTAACTTTTGTTACCGTTACCGTTACTCAAAAAATAACGAGTCGTTACAATTTCCGTTAGTTTTTTTATATATAACGATAACTTTACATACAATTTTTTTTTAAACAAGATCAAATTAAACACTAAAAATTTTTAAACATTGTCTTACAAAGAAACAAGATACCAAAATGAGTTTTCAGTAGTTTTCATGTAATGCTGCATTCCAACACTCTTATCAATATTTTCCTTTGTATGAAAATTATACCGAGTAAATTCAAAAAAAGTAACGATAAAAGTAACTGTTAAATTCGTTACTCGTTACCGAAAAATGTAACGAAGTTACTTTTTCCGTTACAAACAAAATTTGTAACGCCGTTACTGTTACAGTTACCGAAAAAAAGTAACTGTAACGGTAACGGCGTTACAAGTAACGCGTTACTTCCCAATCCTGATAATAATACACAAATATAATGTAGAGCCGTAATCTTCTCGATTACTCATTGAGGTACGTCATAAATCTCTTCGATTCACAGTTATCGATAGTCGCTTTGGATGTACTTTTATTACGTGACGTCCGTCGCATCCCCATCACGTATTTTTTTCCGATGCTCCTTCCTTATATTCTTTATTCAATGGTTCCATAGTCCCAGTCCCAACCGACCAAATTCGGTCAATATGGCATACTTCCTAATCTTACAAAACATCCATTTACAATAGTTTATTTTATATATATACTATTTTTATGTTGTGACAAGTTTTATTCATTACTCTACACATGCTAAAATATACATATAGATAAAATTTCATTGAAATCGGTGAGTAAAGTAGGTTTGACATATTCACCGAAAATTTACTTTTTGAACTCATTATTTAAATTACATTATTTGTGCAAAATATCTAATATTTATGTATAACATTATTAAAATTTGTACAGATTACTCGATGGAATGTTCTTTCGGCTATGAGAGAGAAATATTAATAATTCTTTAAAAAGAAAGAGAGAGAGACAGAGAGAGAGATATTAATTTAAAATTGATTAGGTTCTCTCTCTAATTTCAGTCAAAATGATATTGGAACTAATTGATCAGTTAAAGGATCCTCAACTAGTTGCAACAATTCAAAAATTTTTTGGTGTTAAAATATATTATGATAAACATTTTGAGGAGTTTAAATCTAATAAAACAGCTAAAAAAACTGAGAAGAGAAAACATATTAGTGTTGATCATAATGAAGAAAATTATATTTTGACTTGTCATAATCGAAAAATGAATGGCTGTAGTACAAACAGTTCAAAAACATTCAATAGATGCATAGAACAAATGGAATTTTTAAAACGGCAAAAAAATGAATCAATAAACAAAGAAGAAACTTCAACAGTTTCAGAAAATTCACTTTATACAATCACTAATTCATTTTGGTATTATCTATTTTTGTTTGGAACTGGACTAGGAGATGAAATCTTTTATTCATCTTTTATACCTTTCTTCTTTTGGAATATTGATGGAGCTGTTGGTCGAAAAGTAGTCTTAGTATGGGCCATTGTTATGACTATTGGTAAAATCAATTATTAATTAAGAATAAAACAATATGTCATACTTTATGTACATTGTATAATGTTATGTAATTTATTCTTAAATTTGTTATATATTTTTAGGGCAGGTATTAAAAGATATAATTTGTTGGCCCAGGCCAGCATGTCCCCCAGCAGTTAGATTACAAAATAAGTGGTCACAAGAATACGGAATGCCATCTACTCATGCTATGATCGGTTTCGCGATTCCATTTAGCATAGTATTATTTACAATGAACAAATATACTTATCCATCTTTTATCGGCTACTTTATTGCTTTAGTTTGGTAAGTTAATACATTTATATAATACATTTTAATATTTTATTATTAATCATTTATTAATATTTATTAATTAATTGTATTAATATAATAATTGTATTAAAATAATTGAATTGTGCAACATGCAAGATTTTTCTAGGTGTGTACTTGTCAGTATGAGCAGACTCTATTTAGGTATGCACACTGTGTTAGATATTGTAGTTGGTTTAATATTAACAATTTTGTTAATGATTCCATTGGTACCCTTAGTAGACATAACAAATTCTTACATCGTTACCAGTTTTTGGTTATCAGCAATCCTGATCATGATCAGTATTGCTGTTATTGTGTATTATCCACTCGGCGACAAATGGACACCTACTAGGTACAGATAAATCATTGATATCATACATAATTATACAAGTAATTAATTTTTATTCTCTTTTACATGTAATTATGATTTATTTTAGAAGTGACACTGCCATGGTTGTGTCAGTTGCA